TCTAAGGATATACTTTCCATGAAAATATTAATCTCAATAAAATCACAAATCGGTTGAACTCACAATGTAGTTCTCTAAAAATCAATGATGTGTTACCAGGACTTTAACCAGCTGGATCTCTACTACTCTTTGATGAATCTGCCCAGCACCAAGAAGTAAAACCATTTACTGACAGCAGGAAGGAGGAAAGGAACACACTGAAAGTTTAATTACTTTGTTTCTCAGTTTAAGGAAAAAGAAGTAAAAAAGATAAACAAAAAACAAAAACAACACACTTTAATATTTCCTAAATATGGAGCTGAGGGTACTTTCCTACCTTACCCCATATATAATTATGAAAACAAACACAATTTAAAAAAAAATCAAATCATTAATTTATCAACAAATAAAAATAAATTACGATACTGGAAACACTGAGATCTTAATCATTATAAGCATATTGCTTAAAATCAATGACAGATTCAGTAAATTATTCTATGAACAGTTTTATCCCTGAGGAATCTACATTTTCACCATAAAATTGATGGAAAATTCTACTTACAACTAAAATGAAACTGCATGTTAGCTTTAAGTATAGAGATTAGCAATATTTCATATTTATATCTGGCAAATATACACTAATCTGTTGCTATATTATTTCTGTGAGTCCATAAACAGAAACTCAACTCACAGAGGTCTTTTTCACCATCATAAGAATGCAGTTTCCACTCTGTCACACTTAAAACCTTCAGAGCAGGTGGTGTCTTCACTTCGCCATTTCAGAAGGCTACTTCTAGAACACAGACATTATGTGAGCACTGGGACACTGCACCAAGGAAGGACTTGTGATTCAGAAACCTGCATGATAAACTACCCCTTTCATGATGAAGCTATCTCATCGAACCCAGGGACGGCCCCTGAATGCAGCTCAGAGCAGGGGTAATATTTCTTCCTAGTATTACACTAGTCCAAAACAGGCTATAATATTCACCTTTGTATAGATGTCAATGAAAAAACTACAAAAGAAAAAGAGAACCCCACAATAACTATAACCATTCAGAGGAAATCTATTAGGTTATCTCTTAAGAAATACCTGAGCTGTATCCAGTAAATAATATTTGAAATATCTATCAGTTAAAATGATTCATAAATACTTTTTGTCTGTTTTCCTTTTTCTCCTTTGGACACAATGATTGATGTACTAATTTTTAGTAAATTATTACTTTAATAATATAATTATATTTAATTAAGCTCCTTATTAAATTCGTAGTTCATTATTTTGCCAATAAGAGTTCAAGATATAGGCATTCAATGAAAAAATGTACCAAATACGACATATATATATACCAAATTTATCATATATATACCAAAAATACCACAAAACACACGCTTTTACAGATTTTACTTCTTGGGCACAAGAAACCTGAGGGAAAACCTGCTTTGAGTAGCAGGTAAACCTGGGGATCTTCATAACTGAATAGAACAGGAAGCAATTTTGGCTCCAGGGTGATTACTGAACACTGTACTCACACAGGAAGGTACCACTCTGAGCCAAGTTTCAGGACAAATCTTAACTTCTTATTCTTTTTTTCTGACTTTTCTGTTACTGTTTAGTGCTATGCCCTATTACTTTTTCATTCCTTCCTTTCATTCGTTCTTCTGAACGTCACGCTAGAAGCAGGAAACCTGCCAATACAAGCCTCTTTCCCCCAAAAAACAAACAAACAAACAAACAAAAACCATGTGGCAGCTGGCAGAACTTTGTTTTTGGCCTATAGAAGTCCCTCTATTCCGAGAGTAACATATCCAATTGAGATCACTATGTGGAAGAGTTGTTTGAAAGCGGGAACTGAGAGGAAAACTAGGGCCTAACAGAAGTTTTGGCATTACAGAGGCCTGCTTGGGGTGATAACACAGTTGCCACTTCCAGGACGGTTGGTGCGCACGGACTCTGCTCCTCCACGGTTCCCTGGGCAGCACAACCTGCCCTCCTCGCAGCTGCAAAGGGGAGTAACGGAGGATGGAGCGGGGTGAAGACACCGCAGCCAAACTCTGTTGCGCTCCCTGTGCTGGGCTGCTGTCCCATGGGAGATACAGGATAACATGTCTGGTGCTGATCGCACATTTGTATATCAGAGCTAGCTAAAAACCTCACACTGTAGTAGAGAATTTCCTGCACTGACATCTGAAACCTGCTTTGTAAGTGTCGCATTTGAATAACTCACACTGTTTGTGAACTCGACTACTTGTCTGGGGGGAGACGATTGGACCTACAGTTGACAGACTGTTCGTGAGTCCAACACTGCCAGAGTCGAGCTTATAGTTGATCACACTATTTGGGAACTGGATTCGCTCCTAGGAGGGCGATCGGACCTACGGTCCACAGACTGTTTGTGAATGCAATACTGATTTGATATGTCCTTCCCCTCCACCACCACCACTACTACGGCTTTCAACCCGCAACATTTCACACACTGTAAAAGACTGCAAATGACTGCATTAGGCTTTGGATGCAGTTTTTTTTTATATATTATTTATTTATTTCTGCAGCAGGCTCATTTTGATTTTGACTTGCACAGATTGTGTATACTATGATTAAAATTTACACAATGCTTCTAAGTTACAGTATCATTGCAAGCCTTTTTAAGCTGCAATCTAGCAAATAGATGCCTAAAAACACATTTGAAAAACAATAAGCCATTCATTTACAGAGCTTTCACATGCTATGTACTTAACTGCTTTTACTGATGAAGATCTAAAATCAGGTATGTGCAGCTGTCCAGAAATGCTTTCTCTATTTCATAAGTAGTGTATCATTTCTAAAATAATGTATTGCATATAACCTTTGTTCATAGTCACTTTTTTTTGGTAAACAAACATGTTTATAACTATACAAAGTTTTTTATAACTGTTTATAACTAAACTGTTTATAACTAAACACACATGTTTGTAACCATAAAAGCACAAAAAAGCCAAAATTGCATGCCGATCACACTACCAACCACCTGTTATGAATTGAAAATAAAAATGATCATGCCTTTGAGAAAGATATTTGAAAAATCCTCATGTAAAAAATGTCATTAATAATGGGTGAATTCAAGAAGATTGTGAATGTTTAGGAATACTCTGTGACAGAACAATACTTAAAAGACATTCATTGCAAATTATTAGCTGAGCTTTGTCACACACAAGATTTATGGGGGAAATAACCGGAGTAGGCTTACAGGATATATTAGGGGGAAAGGTTTAAGTACTTAAAAAAAACAACAACAACAACAACAAAAAAAAACTTATATCACTAAAAAAATCAAACAACAAGCTCTGTTGTCCGGCATTCTGGAAGGCAAGTATTCCTGAGGAGCTGAATAAAGAATTTGTAGGGCTTTTGTGAAACTGCAGTGAGCAAGTTTAGCAGAGAGCTCTGCCACCGCCTTAGAAATATCATTACCTTTCTGTTTTCAGTTGATATATCTGGTTAGCTTGACCATATGAAGCTTCACAAGGACTGCAGTAGTGTTCCAAACTCAGAGAGAGATGCTGTCTTTGAAGACATGTTCCATTGGTTGCAACTAGAACAAGTGTTTTGCAATGTACATTTTTTGCAAGACTGTTTTGGTTATTACTGCTGGGCATTCAAATTCTCCTCAAAACACTATCTGTACCCAAAAAGTTGAATTATTTAACTACTTAGCTTACAGATCTTCTTTTGTAACTGATCCTTCTGAAGAGCTGCAGTAGCTTTTTATTAATATATATTTTTCCATGAAAAATTCAACACTGACCTATTTCTCAGGAAACTGATAGTTGCAAGCTGATATTTAATAATGATAATACATGTTTTTCAAGGGTATGTTGGTACTGTCAGGCTCTTGCTCAATTTTCCCTTTTCTTCTCCATCTGCAGTGTTTTTCCCTTGTCTCAGTCATGCCTTTTTTTTTTTTTTTTTTCCTATTCTGCCAGTGGTCATGTTAAAAATCTCCCTTTCAACTTTTTTCCCTATTCAGGACAGTAACTATTCTTCTCTTTGCTCACATTCTACTCCTGTTTTTTTACCTCAGTTCTTTCCTTTATTATTCTCCACTGCATCCTAATTGCTTATACTGTTCCTAAGCTGTAGGTTAGTGTTCTAAACACTGTCCTTTCTTGCCATCTTCTTTTCTTCTTCTACTCTCCTCACCTTTTCAGCCTTGCTCCTTTAGAGACTTTGACTTCTTTTAACAAGCCACTATAAAGTGACTCTCTATTCATTCAATTTTTTAACTCCCTAAGTTTACACAGCTCAATGCCACTTTAAGTATGTTAAGCTGGTTAGCAGCATTCCTCTTTGGCATGCCTTTTTTTTTTTTTTTATAATACTCCCAAGCTAATGAATTGCCAATTAATTAGAAACAATTAATCTTAGCAACAGAATAAGCACTTCATGTGTTTATCTCTTGTGGAGCTTCTAAACTAATTTTTATGACTGTGCTGCTGACTGTTCTCACTAGTTGGCAGTCTGTCAATGGCAATAAAAGTTCTTTGAGCAGATATTCAGGACATGGTTTGCTGCATGTTTACTTTAAGCAGGATGTTTCTGCATCCTCTGTCTTTAAGTATGTCAGTTCTGGGATGATACATTTGAGCTACACCAGCATTAAGCCAGATTACAAATGGGCAGAAAAATGATTGTTTTGGATTCTTAATAGTTTCTGACCTGTTTCTGTGTGGGGAGTCTCATGTACCAACTTGGCAATGGAGAAGCATAAAGGAAGGAACAAGTGGCAGAGAAGATTGAGGTTCTTTTAGTAGGAATGGTGGAAGACTCCAAGGTCTCCAAAATCAAGAAAAAAATAATTTAAAAAAAAATAAATAATTAACAAAGGCTGAAATGAACAGGCAGAAAAAGAGTGAGGTGGGGAAGAACAAATAAAACCCTACATTGATCTGGATGTATAGTAGGTGTTATGCACAAGGACAACGGTATAGAAAAACAAAAACCCTAGTCAAAACGAAGATGCAGGTGTAATCATAATTACTCGTACCTGCTGAAGTTGGTTCCTCTTCATCTGAGGCTGCACAAAGGAGGGAGGGAAGAGAGTAAGGGAAGAGAGAGAGAAAAATAAATGAAGAACTCCAAATCCAAGTAGTGCAGTCATAATTACTTGCATTTTCTTAATATGTGAAACAAACAACAACACATGAAAACATGAAAGACTAGTTTATTTTATAAAGTTTGAATCAATTTTAGTAACATTAGATATTGTCTCTGAGATAAATGCATTTGTGTGCCTCCCCAATCCAAACTTTGTTTGAAGAACAGAATAGGAATGTGTATCTGCATACTAGGACCTTTCCTTTTTTGGTGTAGATAACCACTGAATTGCCTTAAGTTGCCATCCAATTGCACCTCAGGCTGTAGACTGTATCTATTCCCCTGCATATTCAACAGAAAGCAATTAGACAAGCAAGTTCACAGTAAAACTATTTTAAAAGTACGTCAGCGTCCTAGTTCTTTCTCTCCTTGCAGTCAGAATGCTTATATACACATTCACTGCAAAAACAGCCTTCTTAACAGTTTTGAAAAGTTCTCAACAAAAGAGAAAGCAGCAATTAAGTGCTTCTGACCTGGATACTCTGAAAACATTTAGAAATCTGCGAGGACACTCCATATATGTGATAAGAACACTCTTAAGACATTGAAGACATTTATTCATATACTTTCTATTTTTTTCTTTTAATCAATCTCCTCCATCACTTGATATCCAAGCTTAATCCATTTGATTTCTTGCAAAATCAGTTCCAGATACACATTTTTCTAAAGGAGTCCTCTTTGCTGCCTGAAAACACAGCCCATTTATTTGAGACTTGACAAAGTGAAGGGCTCAAAGCTCCTAACGTCTCTTACAGTGTTAATTCACCATGGTGCTTTTAAAATTTACACTTGTCAAGGACAAAGATTTCAAAAATTTCTTCAAAAATCAGTATCACACCTGGTAACCTGGCCTGTTGGCCTTCAGTATCAACCCATCTATTATGACAAGAGAAAAGAGAGAAGGTGCAGAAAAAACTTTTCTCATTTTAGCGAAGCTGAGGCATAACAGAGGTCCCATAATCGTATCTTCTCAACAGACACAAACTAAATTTAGTAAAATATATATAACTATATATAACTATAAATAGCTTGGCTGATTTAATACATTCTTCTGTTTGCAACTATCGCTCTGAACATATCTTCACTCCTAGCAGCAGCATGGTGTTCTGTTAGAGACTTCCCACACCAGCAACAGAAAATAATCGATTTCCTTCTAAATGAAGCACCAGCAAATTACCTTGCCTAGTTTTCTAAGGTAAACAGATGAATAAAAATATTTTTATTTATACAAATTAGTGTTCAACTAAACACCTAAGGCGGTTGCATGACAAGACCAGTTACAATATATATAACCCGTCCTAAACAACGTATTTGATAGTATATTCTTTAACTTCACATCAATAGCAAAATATTCTATAGCAGCCTAATAGTTAATCTCACAGAAAGAAACAGACTTTTAAATCTTAAGAGCAAAAGAATGAGAAGCAAACAAACTGATTAGGAATTCAGTACAAACTATGTATGTTGCAATTTCTCAAGCTATCAGTGGCAGAGAAGAAAACTAGACAAGCTGAACCAAACATGAAAGTTAGTTAGAAGTTCAGTTATTAAATTATGTAAATGTTCAAAATCTCTATTAACTGCAAGCTCAACTTTTGCTTGAGCAATGAATAAATAAAAATATGTGACTCTATGTGTGACTGCATAGGCATATTAAAATTAAACAACATTATTCAATTATACAAAATAGATTCAGAATCCATTCCATTAACTTATTTTTTAAGACAGCTATTTAAATATTATTTGTAGAATTAATTTCTAGAATACTAGCATTGGCAGTTCAAAACTGTACTCTGACATTACGTTGAAGAATGTTTCAACAATAGCGTTGTGTACCTATATACTCATCTAAATAAAACAGGGTAACTGAATATCAGTTGAAATAAGCCATTCAGATGCTAAGATAGTTCCGCTGGTAACATTACATCTCCTCTTATTTTATTATCTTCAATTATTTGGTTGTAAATCCTCTCAGAAAGGGACTATGTTTCTATTCCTGTAGAGGTAAATTCTCTCACATATAACCATAACAACTGATCCTTTGTAGTCTCACATTTTTTCCAGATAACAAGCGCAAGACCATGAAAGTCTTTGTCTTTAAAATCAGTAACACAAAGTAAGATCACATGTAAAAACAAAGACCACCAGTGGTACCATTAGTGAGATTAGAACGACTGAATGTATCTTGTCAGAGATCAAAACATCTAAATTCAAAAACTTGACTGGCTGAATATAGTACTAATAGACAGGTGTCACTCTGAAAAACTAACTCACCTTCCTCACTGCAGTACAATAGCATGCTATGATCTATGACAGCAGAAGTTTACAACTGCTGTTGTAAAAGCCTAAAAGACCTAGGTCTAGTTATCAACATATGAAGTCACAGTTGTGAACTTGTTTGTACTTCATGCATTTTTTTATTATTAAATGAACTTAATTTTTCACTTTCTGTAATAGGATTGGTTTACACCCAAACAGCTCGACAGACCGCATTTAAAGAACAGCCACAGAATACTCGAAGGCTACTTGATTTTTTGCTTTATCATCATCATCCTGTATCAGTTGGAATGCCAGCACTCAGCTCTCCACTAGTTCAGTAAATTAATTAAATTATCACATTGAACCCCCCCCACACGACACTTTATACCAGCAGCGATTTAAATCTTAAAGTTATTTTAGAAAGCTATTTATAGAGTGACTCATATCCATAGTAATTGGCTGTAAATCACTTTATTTTTTAAGGCAGCAGAGAGGGAATAAGCAGGAATCACCTTGCTCCAGTGAGCAGGCATGGCCTGCTGCCTGCCTCTGCCTGGCTGTGGACCAGAACAACCTGCCCAGCCTCCCTCCTCAGGCCTCAAGGGACAAGGCTGCATCCCAGAGCCAGGTATTTGACAAAGACATGCCCCAAGAGCTGTCACGGACATCCTAAAGCCATGGCCTGATAACAATATTGTATGACCTTAAGCTGTAAACTAGTCTGCAGTTTTAAAGTGTTTTTAAGCATGTGTTTCTTCCCCATGGGATGCATCATTGACAAAATATAATAAGACATATGGCAGCACAGCCATAAACTTTTATTTTCTTAGAAAAAAATCTGATGCACATTTGGGATAACTCAATCATATTTTCAGCAGAGTTAATATCAAAAGTTAAAAGCATACGAGAGAAGGAAAAAAAAAAGAAAGAGACATGTAGATTTGGAAAGCATATACAAGGACATACATGCTGCAGCACGTATCACACTATTTGTGAAAAAGCAATGTTCAGACAGTATACAAGCCAAGCCTCAGAGTATTTCTCATACAATAGTATGTGGAGAGAGCATGCAACTTGAGAAATCCAGAAAAAAAATGAATTTTAAAGCACAGCAAAAGTTGAAGGTGGCAGAACCACTGTAATGTGAGTTTTTGTTTATACTTTTAATCTCAGAGTGATATGAGATATGTTTGTCCTAATTCAAATTCAAATAAAAGGTAAGGGTCTTATATAAAAATAAACTTTCAATTGTTTTGACTGCATTATCTCTATGCAACAGACCATGCAAGAAGAGTTCTGCAAAATGATCCAAACAAATCACCTTGCAAGTAGTACGAATATGAAAGAATATGAATATGCAAGAATATGAAACAACAACATTTTCTGACTTTGGGTTAAGAGAAGTGAAAAAGAAATGATACTCAGTACTAAATCTCAGGTATCAAAGGAACTACTATGGCTTACTGGCTTCCAGTGAACTCAGCATCAATAGTTAAGACTGCAGTTTTAATGATACAGATGTTGCACTGAAAACACCAGTTTAAGAAGGTTGTCTCCTTCCTAATCTATCGACTTGAGTTCATTTTACCTAGCTGCCTCAACCCTCTTCTCTGGTTCACAAGGTGGTGCTGCTCATCATGACTGATGAGGCGGGATATTGTCAAGTAGAGGACTAATCATGACAAGCACAGTTTCCACCAAAGCCCCATATCATCAAACCACAGCCTCTCTCTGTCCCACTCTACCTGTGATGTTAAAAGTGATAACAGTTTTGATATCTCAAACCCACAGCTTCGATGATTAACACTAACTCAGCCATTCGCTGTAGCTGAAATGATTGCCACTGTAATCAGTGATACAAAGAGTTTGTACCTCAAGATATTAAAAAGGAGTAAAGCCCAAGAACTAGAGAATTCTTTCAAGAAACATAGTATTTCTGTCGACATTTAAATGGGTTTGCACCACTGCTTGAAATGCAATGTGGTCATCCGATAAAGTGATATTTAGTGAATGTAATGAAAACAGGAACTTTGCATGTCTGTGATGTTGCATCATCAGAAATATTTTTGCTTAACCTGCTATCTGTATGAGTAATACAGGTAACAGACTAAGCAAAAATATTTCTTAAGCTTTGTTCCTATTTCCTGCACAAGTATTTGCTCCTGCTGCTATTTCTTTCCACCCCTTTCCACTCTGTCCACAATCTCGAAGCTTGGTCTGATGATGTAATTGCTGGGGCCATTAGTTCTCTCTTCAGCTCAGTAATACTGACTGATGACACTGAAACATGCAAAGGAAGTTACCATATTAAACTGTTTTGTATCTCTCTGATTTTAAACATTTCTTCCAACCTTGCTAGACTCTAGACTCCATTTTTAGATTCCAGTCTAGAATTTGGTTAGCACTGAATATGGAAAACCCAGAATTTCTGCTACTTAAGCAGGGGAAGGGTGCATTTGTTAATTTGAATAAGAGGTTCTAATCTCACAATCTGAAAGGTAAATCGGATTTGCTTTCTGCTGTTTTTTCCTTTGTTTCCCCCCTCCACTCCCCACCTAGCAGACAGTACTGAGACACAAGTACATCTCTTCACAGCATTCTTCACAAGGCCCTCGGGAAAGGCAGTGCCTCTTTGATCGAAGGGCAATGCCTCTTTGATCT